GCCAACCCCTTTATACTATATCTCTTAACACCTTCAAACCAAAAAGATTTTCTTTAAAAAAATAATTACAACCGTTGTCCTAGATTCTTTCTAAATTATTTTCAAATAATATCAAATTTTACAAATATTGAATCAAAATAAATCATATCTTTACTTTAATGTAATTATTTAAAAAATTTATTTATTCTTACTTTAGTTATATTAAAAATAAATTAAAAGTTAGGGTAAAGAACGCAAATGATCCCCAAATATAGGATACTATTTTATTAAGTTCATTGATTATTAAATGTTACAAAATAGTCACCTAACTACTCTTTATGTTCCAGATTCGTCGTTTTCTGTTGAAAAATTACTAGTTTTTTAAGTTGGACGTTAACATGATGACTAGGATATGATAGTTGTCTGAGATTTTGGGATCAAATTTTATCATATCACAGTCGACAAGTAAATGTTTTAGCTCATAATATTATCAATTTTTAATGGAAAATGACGAGTTTGGAATATAATGAATGATTGGGTGACCATTTTATAACTTTGAATAGTCAAGGAGCACGAACTAAACAACCTCGATAATAAAGAAATTATCGTTATTCATTGAGGTCCCGAATTCAAGCGTTAAGAATACCAGGGTACAAGCGTTCAAAGTCAAATAATAAATAGATAAATCGGTATTTGGGATTCCAATGTATAAATACTGAATACACCGCTCGAACCTAAACACTTGGATTAATGGGCAAGTGACATTGAAATAATAAATAGATAAATGGGTACTTAATTCCCCTGTTGACAATCCCAACAAGCTCGAAAGATGCCATATTTTATGCACTTGTGTTTGCTTTTTTGTTTTTAAATTGGAATTGAATCTGTTCCTTAAGAAATTATCAGCCACTTAATAAATAATAATTTCATTAGAAGAAATTCATTACCCTTTCTTGATGTTGGGACCAAGCGATATGATGTTAGAGATTAATTAAAATAATGTAAGGTGATGGTTCCCCATTCACAAGGAGTTATGTTTCCAATATTCATGTGTTAGGTCACGCATGTTGCCATTTCTTTAACATAGAATTTGCGAGGGGCACAACTATGCATGTGGTTTCATTTTTAAGCTTATGTGTTTCCCACCAACAAAGGTTAGTCAAATACCAATTGATTTTTGTGAATATATTTCGAGAATAAAATCTTAATGGCACCTTATCGATACGAGAAAATGCATTTAATTTTTTAATAAATTATGCGTTTAGTATATAAACAATCGGTTTTGGTCGGTTTTAGTACTTAAACTTTCAATCTGTTCAAAATTATACCTAAAGTTTAGTTTTTGTTTCATTTTAAAATTTCATTCAAAATTTAACGTTAAGTTTTGGGGGAAATTAAAAGGTTGGATACTAAAACGGATCAAAATTGATAGTTTAAGTACTAAATCACGCTAAGTTTTTAATTGCAGTGTATTAAAATGAAACAAAAAAAAAATAAGCATAAGGTATAGTTGTGAAAAAATTAAAAGTTTAAGTACTAAAACAAATCAAAACTGATAATTTAATTATTAAATGTGTAGTTTACCTTTAATTTCTTTATTCATATAATATATGTATATGGATTATTATTTGGTGTTAGTGAGGTAATAGTTGAATTTGATAAATATAATTATAAAACTACTCTATGCCTCTATTAATACAATTTATATATTACATAATCATTCTCAAGCACGAATCAAATGATGTCGGTGATAAAAAAAGTTGTTGTTATTTTTTGAGATCCTTGGTTCGAGTACTAGAAATGTCAGAAATATGAGCATTCAATATTGCATGGTTGAGAGTTATCTTTGAACAGATATTACCTCGTACTTATCCTAGAATAATAAAATAATAATAACTCTCAATTTTTTATTATTCTAAGTAAATACAAGGTAATATATTTTCAAAAACTCTCAACCATTTGACATTAAACATTCATATTATTGCATACGTAATGTTTGAACTCGAGATATCAAAGAATAACAATAGTTTCTTAATCATTAAGCTCGCTTGATTAATACGACTCTCAATTTATTATGCGTTAGAAAAATTAAAAATATTAATCTATATGCTATTGGTTATGTACCATGCATTTCATTAATGTGTGTTTTAGTTTTCTTATAAATAATTTCATATATTTATTTAAATATTATTTGTTTATATTTTAAAAAGAAAAACGAAAACATTGGTAAAGAAATACTAGTAACAATAATAATAGATTTTTTTAAGGTAATAATAATAGTTTATAGGTATCATATTCACGTGTTTTGGAGGTTATGCTGACCATAAAGGGGCATATGGTCCTTGAATTTGATATGCTGGGGCTGCCAACGACCCTAATAATAGTCCCTTCAAAATAAAATATTATATTTATAATTAGTTTTTTTTAATTTAAAACGCCTATCTTTATTAAAATTAAGTATAAATTAGTGTTAATTTTCCAATTATTTAACAATGAACACTTAAACTCATTGCAATCGACGGTGCTTAAACTCGAAACTTTTAAGAATAACAATCCTTCTTTAACTATTAAGATCGATCAATTCATGTTACGCTTTTAATATCATCGTATCTTTATTTTAAATTTTATAAATATCATAACCTAGATGTAAAAAAATACCGAAAATAACAAAATATGAAATTCAAAAATATGTTTTTTATTGCTCGAACATGAATTAATTAAATTAAGGGGATGTTTGTTTACTTCAGAATGCTGAATGATTCAAATACTGAATGATTCAGATGCTCTTTATGAATTAGCTCTGAATGTGACATGTTGTTTGATAATGGCTCTGAATAATTCAGAATATGTGCTGAATCAGTCAGCACTGAATCATTCAGATGTGCGAAACAAACGCGCTGAATGCTGAACGGTTCAATATTCAACGCTGAATGGTTCCATTAAGAGGCAAACAAACAACCCCTAAGTCTCATAGATTGAAATCTAGACTCGTAAAAAACACATGCATGAACCATAGAAGATGGATAGAAACCTCAAAATTCATGAATCCTAATGTCGTTTTCGGCTTATTATGATAAATGCCTACCAAACTTTATAGATATCTCCTCTACCCTTATCTTGTTTATTTTTGTCCATATATGGGCATGTGAACACAAGTCATACAAATTTATAGTATATGTAAATTTAATTTTTATAATAAATTTATAGTAATAAAACGTTAAATATGATTAGAAATAATTTTTAATATATAAATTACATAAGTTTTATTTTACCTAACTTTTTTAATAATCTAAAATAATTACAAATAATTTTAATCCATAATCAACACACATAAATAAATATCCTTAAATTTAAATGAGTACATAATGAGTCGATGTAGAGGTGACAAAAGAGGGAAAACGTGCCGTGGCGAGCGATGCGCAGCCTTCAACCACCGCCGACACCTCCCTTTCAAGATCCCCTTTGTAATCCAACTTCTCTGATAAACCTAATTTTCTTTGTAATAAACCTAATTTATCAATTTTACTCCTATCTTATTTTCACATCAATTTAACCATCGAAATTATTCGATCACATCATTATGCAACATTACCTTTAACTTGAAATCTTAAATTATAAAGCTTAAACATTAAATCATAATCATATTATCTCAAAATAATAACTTAAGTTTTATAATTAGGGTTTCAAGTTGAGAGAAGAATATATAATAATACAATTAAATAATTTTTATATCTAAATTGATACGAAAATATAATACGGATAAAAATAATAAATTTAATTTGCTACCGATTTAAAAAAATTATAATAATTAAGTTATTATCAAAATATCAGGCATGAAATTGATTAGAAAGGAGAATATATGTAAAACGGTTCGTTTTGTTAGGAGGGAAAGAGAGAGAATGGCTGTTTGAGGGGTGGGGACTAGTAATCTAGGGAAAAACTCACGTGCGCGTCTTAGTATATTATTAAAATAAAGTGTTATCGGTTTTATTATTATTTTAAATAATAAAATATGTAAAAAATGATCGAAAATATTATTATTTTTGACATGTTCTAATTACCTATATAGGTAAACACGATAAAAAAATTCGGTCAAAAATAATATTTTAGGTAATGTTTTATCAAAAATATTATTTTTTGACTGATTTTTTTTATCGTGTTTACCTATATGATAATTAAAATCAGTCAAAATAATAACACTTTCGATCATTTTTTTACTAATTTCATTATTTAAAATAATAATAAAACCGATAACATCTTATTTTAACCATATACTAAATCACGGCACCATATAACTGCCCGTAGTCCAGTACTGCCAAACAGCGGCAGAACAAACAACAGCGACATTTGCGCGCGTCCTACGTGTCAGCTTTTGCCTCACACTCGTCCTTTTCAGTGTTCTCCCTCCTGGTTGACTCCACGCGTTTCTCGCGCGTCACTCCTACACCCCTATCATCATTTTTACCCTTTTATTTTTCTTAGCTCCCCCCCCCCCTCTCTCACTCTCAATATGTCGGGTAGATGCCCCTCACTCTGTGGGGTCCCCATCTGTTTTCTTTTAACTATTTTTTTAACATAGTTTCCAATTTTCTATCAATATTATTTATTTAATGTACTTGCAATTTATAATTTGTAAAAAGAGTTTGCAGTTAGTAAAGTTTGAATGACGTTAACTCTATGTTGATGGATTATAATAATTTTTAAAAGATACAAATTTGAATGATTTATGCTTTCACAAATCTGTATTATCATAAAGATTACAATCCTACCTTGAAGAAATCCGCTCTTAATTGCTCTCAAATTCCACAAGTATTTTAAGTAGAAACTTCAATTTGGTGAGACTAAATATGCCATTAGCAGATACCAATTTGTTGGAAGAAAAAAAGTTGACGCATATGACATACAAAGGATTAAAAACCTGAAACACAAACTAGAAATTTTGAGGGGGAAAAAAGATTTAATCTAAATAATTAATTACAAAATTTTGGAAAATCCAACATTTCTTGTTGATTTTTTGGTGGGTATATTGATTTATTTTGGGGGGTTTATGACATGTTAACATGAACACTAGCATTTTTAGTGGATTTACAAACGGGGCAAGTATGAACCGTCGACCCACAACCGGTGCACAAGCACAAATGCCTGCACGGCAATAGCAGCAAGCACGATTCCTCCTTCCCGCAATTTCTACAGAAACGACCGGCACCACCTTCCTCGGCGGTCCCTGCTAACGGGCGCTGCTTCTCCAGCTCCCAACTGCTGCCGCAACAAGACTGCGCGTCATCCACCTCGTCTCCCGCCGCTTCTGCTGCAGCATCCTCCTCCACGCCACGAGTGCGCTCGCCCTTGAGCTGGGCGGCTGCGATGAGTTGTTCGAGGTTGGTCCGGAGTGCGTTGGCGGTTGCCTCGTGGGTTTGAGCCAAGTCGCGCCATATTTGGTTCTCGATGCACAGAGATTTCACTCTTTCTTCGAGTGCCCAGTTTAGTTTATCGATCTTCCCGATTTCTTCTTCTTTGGCTCTTAGTTTCTTCATCACCCCTCCTTCGATTGCCTCCATTATATTCCTTGCTTGCCTCTTCCTTTTCTCCTCAATTCCCACCCTCATTTTCTCCATCTAAAAGAACCCAAACTCCATCAATAACAAAACATTAAAAAGAATAAAAAAACCCATCAATAATCAGAAAAAAAACTACTCACGTGTTGGGAGATAAGATTATCAATATCCAACTGCTGTTGCTCCATGTGAAGCGAAATATCATGACCGAGAAACGAGAACGAAGAGCAAGCTTTATTATTGTTACTGCCATGAGGTTGTTGTTGTTGTTGAGCCAATGAAGGAAACGAAAGGATTGGAATAATGGAATCCCTCGGACGCTTTCTGGGTAACGTAAGAACATTGTTACACGTCAAAGTACTCTCCGATTTCATCGCCGCCATTTGATCGTTAACCAAAGAGTTATACAAAGGTAGCAATCCTTCCGCCGCCGCCGTTGGAAACCCGTATCCCATCTCTGCCGAATACAGATTCCCGTTCGCCTCAATGGGATTCATTACGTCCCTGCAAACACAAAACGACTTCCAGAGATGATTCAAAAGGCAAATGAAAATATTTCGATGTTTAGAGCATTCGGGTCTGTTTTAAAACGAACCTGTTTCCTAAGAATTGAGTGGGGGAAAAAGTTAGATGCCTAGCTTCAACAGCCATGGATTAGAGAGAAGAAAGAGAGGAAATGATAGCGTTTTGAGTTGGCTTTGCTTTGGCTCTTTTGAAGGGTGAAATGGAAGAGTAATATAGAGAGTGGTGGTGGGGTTTATTTAGGATTCGGTTCTGTTCGGTTTAATAAAAAAATTAGATTGCATTTATGAGTCATAAATTTAAGGTTGTAAAATAGAAGAGTAGTTCGTTGGTTTGGATATTTTGTCTATTTTAAGATTTGTTTACCAAATTAACCTCTTGCCTTCCCTCCTACTTCACCCTCTAATAAACAATTCCATCTAAATAAATTAGGGTAAACTATGCATTTAGTATTTAAAATATCAGTTTTGATCCGTTTTAGTATCTAAACTTTCAATTTTTTCAAAACCATACTTAACGTTTAGTTTTCATTTCATTTTAGTATCCGCCATTAAAAACTTAACGCGTTTAGTACCTAAACTATCAATTTGATATTTTTAATACTTAAACTTTCATTTTTTTTATAACTTAAAGTTAGATTTTCAACAGGATACTAAAATAAAATAAAAACTAAAGTTTTTAATGGCGTGATACTAAAATTTAGTTATGATTTTGAAAAAAATTAAAAATTTAGATATTAAAACAAATTTAAATTAATAATTTAAGTACTAAACACGTGAATTTATTATGCGAGTAGACTTTTCTAATAAAAAAAAGTTAGACAATCCGTTTTACCAAAAGTCATTTGATTGTGTCATCTACCGAGGTTCAATTATTAAACCGAAAGAATAAATAACTGAATTATTAAAGTAGGAGGAGTATAGGGATAAACTTCATATCTGCAAAGTACATGGAGTGGGAGCATAATTAGACCAATATATAAATCTAGTTTACTCGGTAAAATTTGTAACTTTGTAAGGGTATTCTAGGGATATAGATCCTAGAACCGGGTTTACCGTCTTGTTTGAAATTTGGTTCATTGTCTAGTTTACATAATTGGTTGTGATAAAATGAAAGATTCAATAACTGACCGTCAGGGTATCTTCCACGTGTACGACGCCAACGTAAGCATAGCTGCGGGCGGTTTTCTTTTCTTTTCTTTTTTCCCTTGATACCCTCTCCTGAAACAACGTGAAAGAACGTGTGGGGTCCACCCATACACGTGTGGGACAGGGTGAGAGACTATGATGAGAAGCCGTGGGTCCCACACTTAAAGCACTTCTTCCCAGCGTGGCAGATACTAAATTAAACTGTAATTTTTTTAAAAAAAAGGTTTAATATTACCGGCGATCCCTTCACTCTTCTTATTTTTTTATATTAAAGTCCAATTAAGGATGGCAACGGGCCGGGTTCGGGCCAGGTATTGGTCCTCCCGTCCCCGTCCCCATTTAAAAAATCCGTACCCATCCTCACTTAAAAAATTGCAGGGATTTAAACGGGGATCCCCATCGGATAATCGGGGAAAATCACGGGAATACAGGTATCTCCGTTTAGCATAAACTTTTATTTAAACGGGTATTGGGCCGGGTATATATATTTAAATTAAATATATAAATATTATATATATTTTAATTTAATTTAATTTAAATTTATTAATATTATATATATATAATAATTATTTTTAAAATTTATTGGGCTGGATAATCGGGTAATCGGAGCGGGGATTACTAAACCCGTCCCCATCCCCGTTTAACATAAACGGTTTCCCCGTCCCCGTTTAACATAAACAATTTTTCTCCATCCCGTTTAATTCGATTTTCGATTTTTCCGTCGAATTCGAATTTTTTTGCCATCCCTAAGTCTAATAAAGCCTTAGCTGAATTGGTAAGGTTGAGGTCTTAGGATAATTTGAGATCTCGTGTTTGAATCCCGCTAAATCTAAAATCGTGTGGAATATCTATTTAGTTTTATTTGAATTATTTATTGAATTAATTATACAATTCACTATTTATAAGAATGTGATGTATGTGGTTCATAACTTTTTATATAATAGAGTTTTAATATGAAAAAAAATTAAAATAATAAAAATTATTCAAATTTAACATAATTAAATTAATATGATTATCAAATGAATTATATTTTTAAAAGCGAATAGGGACTGGAGGAAAAGTTTGACAAGAAATGAGAAACAAACGTTGGAGGCGTTAAGAAAAAGAAAGTGAGAGAAAAAGATGGGACGGGTACGGTGTACCCGGGGAAAGGAGTGATGTTCCTTTGGCTTTTTCTATTTATTTTTTAATTTATTTTAATTTTAGAATATAAAAAGAGAAATTAAATTCATCTGGTCCCACGGACGGAAAAGGATGATGCATTTACTTTTGCCACACCTCAAAATTTACCCTTTTTAATTTGTTAATTTATATGGTAAAATAAATAAATGATCTCGATTATAGACGGTACTTTGTTAAGTCTCATGACTATGTAAAGTTATCCGATCTTGAAGTTAATCTACTCACTAGGATATGATAAATTGTGATCTCATAAATGTTTGATTTGTATTTTTTTGGACTGTGTCTTTGTTTACATTATGTCATCGAAAATGTATTTGAAACATTATGTCATCGAACTAGTGCTTAAAAGCAACGATGATGCAAGTAGGCATTAATCTTATTATATCTTAGTCAGTAGGTTAATATCCACCTTGGACGATCGTTGAGTATTTTAACAGAAAATGACGAGTTTGGAACATATGAACAGTTGGATGACTATTTTGTAACTTTGAATAATCAATGGGTTCAATAAAGCAATATCCTATAATCGGAGGACTTTTTAAGCACTTTACCCTAATTTCTGTTAATATTAAGTATTAGAATTTAAATACTAATAATCCACCCCTTTTACTTTTATTTTATCTCGTTTTTATGATATAAAAATAATATGTACCAAATAGATTTAAATCTAACTCGAAATACGAGGATTGCACATCAAATTTAAGAAACAAATAAAAAAAATGTTTTCAAAATTTAAAGGTAATGTCTAATCCTATGGTTATGGCCAATTTAATTTCAAGTTGGATCATAACATGGCATTAAACTTTTAGTTAAAGGATTCACGTACATTGACTTCAAATTTTAATGATAATAATAAATTAGGTAAAATTTTAAGAACTTTGAGGTCTGTTAAATGAATTATTGTCTAACTCATCATCATTATAAGTGAATTTAATATATATATATATATAATTATAATAATAATAAATTATTATTTTTTAATAATCTGGAGTAATTATAAGATAATATCTGTTCGTAATCTTTCTTAACCATTGATAATACATACACCCTACAGACGCAACTGCTCAAACATGATAACTCTATAAATAGCACCACTCATTTTAACTATTGAAATCGCTTAATATGTTTAACAAATAATAAATTCTATAAATTTATCTTCGAAAACTCCATATCGACGTACATATATTCAAAATTTTAATTTAAATAATTTTACGTACAATTTGATTTTTTTTAATTATTTATCTTGGCAATATGAGTCGCATATAGGCATTTGTTAAGAAGAATAGGTTTGGCCGTAATTCAATTTGACAGGTGATATTTCTTAGGTTTTGGATGGATTTCCCAAGGGAATTAGATGCGTTGATTTGGTGGAGAGTTGAATTATATTTAATAGTACTGTAAATTTTAGTAACCATTTTAATCATGGTTTTCAGAATCGGATCGGTCAATAAATCGGTTGTGATACCGGTTCATAGTTTCAATCGGTTGAATCGGTCAGATTGATCGTAAGAACCGGAAGATGTCATAATTATTTAAAAAATTAAATAAAAATATCAAAAATATTTAATAATAAAAAAAAAATTAGGTTGAACCGGTTCACGGTCCGATCTGGTTCGAGTGGTTCAAAGCCGGTTCCTTACGGTTCACTAAAACCGGTTGAACCGGGGTAGAATGGACCAGACATGACAGCGGTTCCCGGTTGAACCAGCCGGTCCGGTCCGATTTTCAAAACACTGATTTTAATAGTATAGGTAAATATATATTTTTATTCAAAATATTTGAAATAACACTCATAATTATATTATTTTATGTATCTTCTTTGAAATTTCTTTAATTTTAACGTATTAGAGTTTGATAAAAAGATAATGCCTAGATTTGAAACACAACGACAAAACACAACTATTTTATGTGTCACATAATAACAATCATGTCCTAATTCTATCTCCCTCTTCATTATAAAACTTAATATTTGAGCAATATTAGACAAATCAGCTTCATTTGAGGAGACAAAATGACAAAAATGAGCATACAAACAAAATGAGAAATTTAGGGTTTTTACTAAATTAAGTGGCCAACTAAGGATTTTCAGTCATTGTACTTGTTTTGCAGTGCATGATTCGGGCATCTCGGCGAGGAGAGGCGAATATTAGATTTTTTAATCATAAAAATATAATATAATATGTTGTATTTAGTTCGATTATCAAATTATTTGTTTTTTTTTAATAAAGTATAAGCAAATATGTGGCTTGCATGGTAGGCCGTACAGACAGAGAGGATCGTTATATTAATTCATTGAAAAATGCATCGCACCCATTGCTCATGTTTCCATTTCATGGATCTCGATCGCACCGATTGTTCATATCGTGTATATATAATATTATAATTTAGGGTAAAATACAAAAATGATCCCCGACTATGAGATATTGCTTTATTAAGTCTATCGACTATTTAAAGTTATAAAATGGTCACCCGACTATTCATTTTGTTCCAAAATCGTTCTTTTTCGTTAAATAATTGACGGTTGTCTAAGTTGGACTAACATGGTGTCTGAGATGTGATAGTCTTTTGAGATTCTGGAAACAAATTTTATCATATCAAAGTTAACAAGTTAACATTCAGCTCATAATACCGTCAAAATTTTAACAGAGAATGACGAGTTTGGAAAATAATGAACAGTCATGCGGCCATTTTGTAGCTTTTGATAGTCAAGGAACTCAACAAAGCAACACTTTATAGTTGGATGATCATTTTGTAACTTTTAATAGTCGATAAACTTAATAAAGTAGTACTCTATAGTCGGGGAACCATTTGTGTACTTTACACTATAATTTAAAATTTTAATTAATTTCGTAAAGTGATCTCAGTGGTAAAAAGAATGTTAATCTTTCTAGAGATCCTAG